CCATAGTAACCCTGAACAGGGTTTCCAAGGCGGTAAATCTCAACGGGAGCAGAAAGCCTCATCTTTGTCCTGCAAAGAAGCTGGTAGTTTCAAACTGCTGACCTTGCGGTTCATAGCCCGATTCGTAACCACTATGCTACGAGAGCTCCTGAACCCCTATATAGAGCTACTATAAGTCGGAACCAACTTGATGGCAAGTCACAACAGAGTAGAACATAAACTTGACATGAATTTTAAAGAAAGTCGCTTTGTTAGACTCACAGTATTAAATTCTCTCCAACCCTATGTGAACCTCAAGGTCAGTGGTTCAAACCCACCAGTTACTCCTTGTAAACCCTGTGGCTATGAGTAGGAAACGATTCAACAGCACTTAACAACAACTCCAGTACTATAGGTTATTTTGGTGAAACTGTGAGCAATGACGACTGTTCAAAAATTAATTGGAAAAAAAATTAACTGGGATGTCTGGAACACAGACTGGGAGCAGGTCAAGGGAATAAGGGAAATGACACTGAAAGGTGTCATCTGATGGCTCTCACAAGCCATGCTTGGAGTTTGTACTTGCTGAAGCTAATAGAAGAAACAAGGAGTAACAGAGCTGAATAGACAATGTCATCAAAGGGCAGCTAGAGAAGACAAAGTCAAATATTATAATGAAATGCACAAAGACCTAAGTTAGAAACCCAAAAGGAAAGAACCCACTCAGCACTTCTCAAGCTAAAGAAAGGAGGGAAAAATTCAAGCCTCCACTTGAAATACTGAAGGATTCCATGGGCAAAATATTGAATGATATAGAAAGCAACTAACTCACTGTACCAAAAAGAAATAATTGATTTTCAACCATTTCAAGAGGTAGCATATATAGGATCAAGAACCAATGGCACTGAAGGAAGAAGTCCAAGGTGCACTGAAGGCATTGGAAAGGCTCCAGGAATTGATGGAATATAAATTTAAATCTTTAATTAAAAAAAATAATAATAATGCAGCATTGGAAGCACTCACTCATGTATGTCAAGAAATTTGGAAGACAATTACCTGGCCAACTGATTGTAAGAGATCCATATTTACACCCATTTGAAAGAGAGGTGACACAATGGAATGCAGAAATCATTTATATTGTAAGCTAGTAAAATTTTGCTAAACCTAATTCAAAAATGGCTGCAACAGTACATTAACAGGAAATTGCCAGAGGTTAGAGCTGGATTCAGACAAGGACATGGAAGGAGGTATATCTTTACTGAGGATAGATGGATCTTAGCTAAAAGCAGAGAATACCAGAAAGATGTTTATCTGTGCTTTACTGACTATACAAAGGTTTTAGACTGTGTGGATCATGACAGACTATGGATAGCATTGCAGAGAATGAGGATTCCATAACACTTAATTGTGCTCATGGCAAATCTGCATATACAGACCAAGAAGCTGTTGTTTGAATGGAACAAGGGGACACAGAATTGGTTTATTATCAGGAAAGATGTGTGCCAGAGTTGTATTCTTTCACCATATTCAATCTGTATGCTGAGTAAATAATCTGAGAAGTTAGATTTTATGGCATCAGAATTGAAGGAAGACTAATTAACAACCTGCAATGTGTAGATGATATAATCTTGCTTGCTAAAAGTAAAGAGGACTTAAAATACATACTGATGAAGATGAAAGACTACAGTTTTTGATATGGTTTGCACCTCAGTGTAAAGAAAACAAAAATCTTCACCACTGGAACAATAAACATGATAAATGAAGAAAACAACCGAAATTTTTGAAGATTTCATTTTGCTTAGATCCACTATCAACACTCATGGAAGCAGCAGTCAAGAAATCAAATGATGTATTGCATTAGGCAAATCTGCTGCACAAGACCTCTTTAAGGTGTTGAAGAGCAAAGATGACAGTGAGAAGGCTAAAGTGTGCCTGACACAAGCCAAGTTGTTTTCAACCTCCTGGTGTGGTGCTGTGGGTTAATGTGTCACACTGCAAAGTCATTTGAACTGCAAGGTCAGTAGTTCAAGCTCACCAGCTGCTCCTCGGAAACCCTATACAGGGTCTCTATGGGTAAGAACTGACTCGATGGCACTTAACAAACAACAACAACAACATCTGTGAAAGTTGGACAATGAATAAGGAAGACTGTAGAAGAAATGACGCGTATAAGTTATGGTGTTGCCAAAGAATACTGAAGGTACCCATGGACCGCCAGAAGAACAAACAAATCTATTTTGGAAGAAATATAACCAGAATGCTCCTTAGAAGTCAAGATGGCCAGACTGCATCTCTCATACTTCAGACATGTTATCAGAAGGGACCAGTTCCTGGAAAAGGACATCATGTAAAAGAAGGAGACCCCCAACAAGATGGATTGGCAGTAACAGTGGGCTAAAACATAGCAGCAATTGTGAGGATGGTGCAAGACCGGGCAGTATTTTGTTCTGTTGCATACAGGGTTACTATTGGTCAGAACCAACTTGATGGCATCTAACAACACCAATAGCATTGCAGTGGAGGCAGCACTCAGCAATCACTGGAGGGTTCTAGGTGAGGAAATGGCACAACATTCATGTTGGAAAATAAAATGGTAACATAAAGTTGTGAGTCCGGAAGATTTGAAATATTTGATGAGAAGTGATGAAGGCCTATGTGAGGCAAGGGTATAAGAAAGAATGATTCTAGATACATAAGCAGTGGAAGCCACAAGATCCAATGAGAGAGTAAAGGACAAGGGGCTTCTTAGGTTGGGCAACTATAGGGGGTCAATGAAAATAGAAAACAAAGAAGGAGTTTACTTTTTGTTTATTTTTATTGTGAGGGTGAAGATGATCTTATTTGGACCTCAGGCATTTTCAAATGAGTTTAACAGGACTCTGAGAAGTGGGCAGGCTTGCACAGGATCATACAGTGTAAAAGAGCTGAAATGAAAACTCGGAGCTCTCAGTTCCTAGTTTGGGTTCTTGTGCTGCCTCAATTCACACTGATCATTATAAACAAAGATGATCATCATGTTTTGATCCAATTTCCAAAAGCCTTGGAAGTCCTGAATAAAATCTGAATCTGTGACATTAAGGTAGGCGTTTTTCCAGTTCTAGGCAAAGCCCATTTTGTCTTCCATGCGATCCCAAGAAACAATTAGTTGTGAGTAATTATAAAAATTAGGACACTTAGAACCTGTTCTTTATCCAGTCCCTGTTTGCTGTCATAATAAAATATATATATATATATTTATTTGTATAACTTCATAAGCATCTGCATTGGAATAAGCCAAAATTCTAGCAGCAAGGCTCAGGTGCCTACACAATACCTGCAGATGGCATTAAGGTGGCCTGTATGAAAGTCATAAACACAAGACCAGACATGTAATGGGTGTTCAAGAAATATTAAAGTCCCTTCCTACCTAGCATCCTTCTACCCAGGTGCATGTTGCCTTGACATCCTCAGAGGATCCAAATTTCAAAATACTCTATAAGACACACACACAAAAACTATTGCGTTCACCCTAACAATATCATGTCTCCATCATGATAGCTGATATTCTTTTTGTATTACTATATGCCAGGCACTTTTGTTGTTGTTGTTGTGAAGTGCCATAGAGTCGGTTCCGACCCATAGCGACCCTGTACAGGGTTTCCAAGGGTGTAAATCTTTACGGGAATAGAAAGCCTCATCTTTCTCCCGCGGAGCGGCTGGTAGTTTCGAACTGCTGACCTTAAGGTTCGCAGCCCGATTCGTAACCACTACGCTACCAGGCACTAGACGAAACATTTTATGTATGTGATCTCATTTTATCTTCCTTAAATGACTTAAGGGGAGTCCCAGGGTGGTGCAAATGATTAATGTGCTTAAGCTGTAAACCGTGAGGTTGGCATTTTGAGTCCACCTAGTGATACCTTGGAAGAAAGTCCCAGCAGTCTACTTCCAAAACATCAGCCATTGAAAACCTTATGAAATGCAGTTCTACTTTGACACACAAGGGGTCACCATGAGTCAGAATCAACTCAACAGCAACTGGAATATGACATAAAACCGAAGAAAGGCTCATAGTGGTGAGGTTACAAAGGTTGTAAGCCAGGACATGAATCCAGGTCTATCTGATTCGAGAACACATGCTCTCACACAGTAGTCTTCTCCTTCTGCAGAGGCTATACTCACTGCCCAGCTGATGGCACCTCAACTTTCTATGGTTCTCATCACCCTCCTTTGAACTTGACAGACATGTAATTAGTCCAACGTCTTACACCAGCAAACAGATTTCCATTCACAGCTTTAGATCACATCAAACTGAGCTTATTTATCATAAAAATGAAATATTACCTCATCATTAGTGGGGTCCTAGCCCACCAACACAAATGGGCTAAGGCAGCCCTTTCGTCTACAATTTCTTTGAACAGCTCAACTTTCTACTCTTGTGGATTTAGCTTATAATCAGTTTACTAAAGAGGTAGTTTCACTTTTTGTCCTGGTATATTTCAGGTGGAGAATTAGCTACAAATTCTCTACAAATATATATGGATGTAAAGATCATCTGTCTCCATTAGACAGGGGAAGGGCTCAGTAAATCAATCCTGCAAAGATGCGCTGAGCAGGCTGACCCATTCCATTGACTCAGTAATGTAGTTATTTGGAGGATTAGCATTGGAATGGGAGGTCTGAATTAGAGTCTCAACCTTCCATTGAACTTGTGGAGTAACCTTAGGTAGGTAATTTTAGTGTTTCTCAGAGTCTCAGTTTCTTCATCTATGAACACTAATACCTATACCTCCTATGACAAATTTGAGAAGCTAATGACTGTGTAGAAAATGTTTTACTACACTCCCCACATATCAAAGTTCCATAAGTGACAACGTCTCCTCTGTAAAGTACCACGTCCCCATGGTTTTTCCTCCTAAAATGTAGTGTGACTCTAAAAATGGAAGGGACAGAAGACAGCTATCAATTCAGGACTCCTCTCCTATTAGGTAGCCCACCAGAGGTATCCCATGTTTCTTAGAACCATACCTGGAGATACTGACCTGGGAGAGAGGACATTCTTTGGCTAATGTGCTCTGGTTCATCTCTTTGAGCAGTTCCTTTAAGGCATTGCGGACTGTGGCATGGTTCCACTGCTCCGCAGGCAAGTCTTCTAACTTCGAACAGCTAGAAAACAGAGCAAGAATGAGCAACCTCAGTAAAGGTCCTTGTCTATAGCACTCATGTCTGGATTCTCTATGGTGGCCGGAGACCTGAGCTGAGGCAGTGGAACAAATCAGCATCACTAGGACTTTCATAGAGCCCAATGTGGTCTCTTTAAACTCATTAGAAAGCTAGCCTAAGAAAAAGGGCCACTGAAGGTATGAAGAAATGCCATTTAAAAATATATATACAAAAAAAAAATATATATATATATATATATATACAAAACTGTCCCTCATCTGATTATTCAGTTATGCTTGTTAGTAATCGCATACATGAGCCCTGGATATCCACAGATAAATGTAAAAACCTTCCCTAAAAGCCAAGACTGTAAATTCCAAAAAGACAAAGTTTCCACTCCCCCACCCAAAAAAGCTAAAGAGGATAGAGAAAAACACTGTTAACTGATGATGTATGGAGGGGATTATAATCAATGTAATGAAACAAGTCATATGAATGGTTGAATGTGAAACTGATGATGTGCCCTGTAAACTTTCACTCAATCCACAATAAATACCTTAAATAAATATATATATATATATATATATTTTTTCTAATCTGTTTATAAAAATGGGATAGCAGTGTGATTCTAAATGTCTACCAAACAAATTTAATTATTGGACATTCCTAAGGTTCAAAGTAAACAAATGTTACCTCTAATTTTTAAGTTTGAAGACCAGGCCCACACTTCATTAACATAGAAAAATTCAGGGATGTGACTTTCCTAACCAAAAAACACATTTTCAGATTAGACATTAGGCATTCCTACACAAGAATGGGGATGTTGGGTCACTATTAATGTGTAAATTCCCCATAAGTGGACAATTCAAAACCTTTGTATCAAAGGAAAACACTCCTTAAATCTCTACAGCAAAAGACACTGTAGAGAATGTGCAGACTCTTCAGAGGCATAACTTGTTCTGGATGCTGGGCCTCTGCAGGCCACAGAGTACAGGTTGAGGTGGAACTCCACAGCCTGCACATTCTTGGTAAGCCTGCTATGAGCAAAAGTCACCCTCACTTCTCAAACCTGAAAGCAGCAGAGGTGTTTATTCTTCAAATACTATGTGCTAAGCATTTAACCAGGCCTAGAGGACCCATTAAATTAGGGGCTGTGGAAAGTTCCCCTTTAAGGGCTGCATGTTTTTAATGATTGATCAAGCGTCCCCTGGGTTACCACTTCACTGCTTCTGAAAACAAAACATAAAACAGTTGGAATGCGAACTATAAAGATGTCTGGAGAAGTACCCCTTCTTCCTTCCCTCTTTATTTTTTTCTTTTCTTTCATCCAAAGACTAGTTATTCATGAAGACAGGATGAGCTGATCCCTGCAGTGAATGTCTGATGGACGAGGCAGCTCCAAGAGTAAGGGAGTCAGATGTTCAGAGACCCACCTTTGCAACTGGATTTTCAACGTCACAACATGATAGACATCTTGTAGCATGTCGGCCACGGTCGCGTCGGGTGCATCAGTCACGTAACTAAGGGGGAGAGGGTTCCACCTCCCCAGCTTGATTATTCCTGCACAGGGAAGAAAAACATCATAAACACATATCTGCTATTTATTAAACCTCCCCACTGTTTGTTCAATGTTAAGAAGGTCATTCCATAGTCAACATTCAAGGCCCACTCAGTGATATTTTACAACCCAGTGCAACAGCGATTTTCTTCTGGCAGACAATCGAGTTAGTTAACTATACAGGAAGATGGGAATATAAGGATGAGGTTTAATCATGGACTATCAGTTCTTCTATGTTTTCCTGTTTCTTAAATTACTTAGAAAACCATACGGATACTTGCTTCCCCCAAAGTCTTGTTTCACATTCTAACTTAAGACGGATGCTAAATATACTGGATTGCTGATTTCATAGATGCACCAAAAAAGCAAGGCTTAAGTAAATACAAGATTTGGTTTTGAATTGTACAAGAAAATTCCTGTGTGTGGGCTCAGCACTCAGCTACATCCTGACTGTGGTGTGATCCCCCGTGTGAACAGCATTTGGGGTTGATGAGGCAGTTAGAGTTCACTTCCAGATCCGCAGCGCACCAGGCAGAGCATTCGCTTTCTGTGGCCAAATGCAATCGGCAGGATGATTGACCACAGCTCAGTAATAGCAGCGATTCTTTCAACTTCCTCTTTTATCTAATTCCTTGACTCTTTTTAGAGTGACAGTGGTACCCTTGCTCTGTGGGTTTCCTGAGACAAATGGTAAGCACACGTGACAATGAAGAGAGAAAATAATTCTGGTCAAATGTGGGCTGTATAGAGCAGTGCTGTTAGGGATCCTTGTAACAGGAAGACCTGGGGCAGTTTCAGCACCATGTGGTAAAAGCTTAACTTCTCAATAAGATGAGTCCATCATGCCTGGGGCGTGAGGCACACATAATACTGATAAAGAAATATAACTAGAAATCCCCTGTCACAAGTCACATAGAAGAAGAATTTTATTTGTATGGTATGAAAAATTCAGTGGTCCACACGATGTCAGAAATTGCCACACAGTAAGCACATTTATGCTTTAGTGACAGAAGAGAAGCTGCATTTTAACTTTTGACAATACAGGTGAATCTGACTATGATCTTTAAAAAAATAAAGCATATTATTTTTTATCATCAAAAAATAAGAACACCTGTATACACACGTGAACTTTTCAAAGTTTCACAGAATAATGCTTTTGCGCTCTGGAGTGACTTTACAATAATAGGAAATGAACTATCTGGTCAGGCCATGTCCTGCCCAAGATGAAATACATGAATACACAATGCTTGACATAATGCTTGAAAACAGGGAATAAACAGAACAAAAATATTAAAATGATGCACTGTTTCAGTATTAAGATTTAACAATCTGGTGCTGAATATGCTGCAGTATAAATAGTGCCTGGACTCAGATCCAATAAAGTAACACAGCTCTCATTCATAGTACCGTATGTCTCCAGTTCTGGCTCCTCAAGTCTTATTTCACTTGCCAAGAAAAGCTGTTTTCTTGTGGGGATAGTTTCTTAACATTCTCTCTCATGACAATGAAAAGTGCACAGCACGCAGCATGTCGTAGTCATGAAGTGAGCAGCCTGGGCCCACTGGACAGCCACCCCGGAGAGACTCAGTCTGCTACTTTGCCTCCTTCACTCCTCTAGCCATTTGAAAATACAGGAAAAGGTACCAGGAGCCATGTCGAACATGTTTACTATTTTTGAACTCACTCCACAATTTTAGCTTGTTTTCAGAAACCATTGTGATAGCCCATGAGTTGTATATAAAGTAAACAAATTCTAAAGACATGATTCTTATGAAAAGAAAGGGTTGAGGGGGAGGGGATGAAGTTCGCAGTTGTGCCCTGACAAGTGAGGATAAGCAGAGGTAGATTCTGTGGGTCACTGTGGTTACTAAGAATATTCTATCTATGAAAAGTGAACTGCGCAAACTTCAATGCACAGCGCTCCAGGAGATTCGTCTGTGTTGCTGAGTGTGTCAGCCGGCCAGTCCTTTGTACTGTTGAGCAGAGTTCCACTGTAAGAACATATCACGGTGAAGCCAGGCACGACAGACTGTATTTGTGTGGTGTCCTTTCTATGGAATGTAAGATCAGGCAAAACTAATGTACGGTGATGGGAGGGGGAAAGCGCTTACCTCAGGACAGAAGAGAGAACTGACTGGGAAGGAACATAAAGGTACTTTCCTGCTGCAGCTGGTGGGTACACGGGTATGACTGTCAGAGTTCATCCAACTAAACAATATGCATATGATTTATTATCTGGGAATTGCTGTGTACTGTCAAGCCAGTTCCGACTCACAGTGACCCTGTATAGAGTTTCCAGGAGCCAATGGTGGATTTTGAACTACTGATCTTACATTTAGCAGTCCAGTGCTTATCCTACAGCACCACACCAGGGCTCATGTAAATTATACCTGAATTAAATTTTAAAAAAACAGGCATAAAAAAGGGAGCTGGAACTGATAGACAAATCATTCAGCTAGAAATAGTGATTTCCATTTAGGTAGATTTTCTCCCCACCTTCAGGAGCTAGAAGGAGACTTATTTGGGCTAGAATTAGACACACACAGGTGTTTGCACACCACTTAATACCTTCATAGAGAGCAGCTGCTACAGTTTGGTTTCTATGTCTTAGAAGAAAACTATTGATGCATGTGATTTTCTTAGGCAATGGGAGGTGGCATGGGTTTCTTTTCTTTCACATCATATTGACCAACCTGTATGGTTACTAGAAGTCATGTTCTTTGCTTAACTTTCTATGAGAGTCTGCAGATGCAAGATCAGTTAGAAGACCTATCTCCAGAAGGCTGCTCTCCTCCAGCCAGGTTGAGGTGTGCATTCATTTATTTTAATGAGTCTTTCCTCCAAACAGAGTCTTTGTTGAATCTGCATGTATTAACCCTCTTGGGAAAACTGTCCCTTAGATACAGTCTTCCTTCGTTGCTATGTTGTTGTTGTTAAGAAGTGCCGTTGAGTCCGTTCAACTCATAGCCACCCTGTATACAGTTTCTGAGGCTGTAAATCTTTGCAGGAGCAGAAAGCCTCATCTGCAGAGTGGCTGATGGGCTTAACCCACCAACCTTGTGGTTCTCGGTCCAGTGCTTACCTACAGAGCCACTGTGTTCCCATTCCTTGGTATACAATACATAAAAATTACTTGGGCTAGTAGTCAAGTATTAATGAAGGTATAACAGCTTCATCAATGGACTTCATCAATGTCAGTGATCCTGAGGACGGCACAGAACTAGGCACTGTTTAGTCCTGTTATACATAAAGTCTCCATTTGCTATAACTGGGCAACAACTAACAACAGGCACTTAATTATGTCGGCCCAGCAAGTGACTTAATTTCTCCATACCTCAATCCTCTCATCTGTAAAATGGAACAGTGAAAATGTCAACTGCATAGGAATACTATGCAGATTAGCATGGCTATCATTTACCCTTAATAATTGTGCATTATCATTATGTAGATTTTTATGCTTCAGTGATGCTTTGTAAAGGGAAGACATAGTCAATTTATTTCAATAAATACCAATTTTAGGATTTTTTTAATGACTTCATTACCTTTTACACTTTAATTTGATCATGTGCCTATAAAAAAGCCCTCCTTATTTTAAATCACAATGTTTGTCCTCCTCTATTGCCACCTCCCCCATGTTCATTTGCCCCATCTTTGGTCTTCAGTGCCTCCTCTCCTTTTTTCTATAAGTATGTTTGGAGTACCTGGTGTGTAAGCAGTTTATGTGATTGGCTGCCAATAGGAAGGTTGGAAGTTCAAGTCCACTCAGAAGAGCCTTAGAAGATGCCTAATGATGTACTTCTGATAACTCAGCCACTGAAAACTCCATGGAGCACAGTTCTACTCTGACACATTCTGGGGTCAGCATGAGCTAAAGGCAACTCTACAGTCACTGGTTTCACATGCAGCTTCAGGTCTACTTTAAAACTAACAAAAACTGGAACTCTTTCTCCCCTTAATCTCTCATTTTCGCGCCACCAAATCTACTGTTAAGGCACATAACAACAACAACAAATCTATACTGGAATGCACGTGGATTAAAAGAGGAAGCATTGTGAAGACAAGGGAACAAACTCCCTAGATGCCTAGTTACAATTTCTTCCATGAAAACATGGGGGTTCAGATGAGTTGGGTGCCCATGAAAACATGGGGGTTCAGATGGGATGGGTTGCATCACTAGCAAAGCCCAGATTTTTTTCTCCAAGGACTATGTCCTCACTATTGTCATTATTTAAGTCACACAAACTCAAGTATGAGGCACATCAGAAGACTGGCAAAATAGGTTAATCCCAAGTTTGGGAAAAGCATAAATGCCTGATTCAATAGTCTAACATGATCAGTCAGAAGTTAGGAGCAGAGTCGGGAGTTAGAGGTGAGTTGGTGCCCAACCTTCTCTACTTATCGGCTGTGAAATTTTTGAACAAGTTGTTTAATATCTGCAAGTTTCAGTTTCAATGTCTATAAATGGGCTATTATTGTGCCTACCTCATAGTAGTCCTGGTGTGGCACTGTAGGAGAAGCACTGGATGGCTAATCACAAGGTTCACACCCACCAGCCACTCCTTGGAAACTCTATACAAGGTCACTATGTGTCAGAACTAACTCCACAGCACTTAACAACACCACCACCTCACAGGTTTGTCATGAGGTTTTAAATGACAATAAGAGGTTAGCACTGGGGTTACCACATCATAAATGCTCACAAACAGTAATGGGAAAATAGACCCTGAAAGGTTTTCTGTGTAGACATGACAATCATTAAAAGAAAATATTAGAAGATAAATCTATACTGGGGGTCTGGTGTGGTGCTGTAGGATAAGCAGTGGACTGCACGGTCGTTAGATTCGAGAGGTTCAAATTCACCAGCCACTCCTCAGAAATGCTCTACAGGGTTGCTATGAGTCAGAATCAACCAGACAGCACATAACAACAACAAATCTATCCTGGAATGCACATGGATTTAAAGAGGAAGCATTGTGAAGGCAAGGGAACAAAAGCTGAATGA